AACTAAATTCTAACCACACGCATTGTGTTGAAAGTCTCAATGCAGCATCAATTTTCCTTTGTACACTTAATAATTAGGCAGTTTTGAATTGCATTTAAGAAACCAGACAAAAAAGAGTAACTGTTATGAACAAAATTAGTTGCCTACTGGAAGAAATTCAAACTCTCTCCAATCGTATGTAATCACATATCTGAAAAAAAATAATGGTAGAAACTTAGAAATCTTAAAAAGATAGACAACAAAATCCAACATAGAAAAAATAAGGGAATGAATTCTTTCCTCGATGAGAGTGGGAATGCCAAATTGTCTCTCAGTGGTGACCGTGCAAGTGGGAATGAATATGAGAACCAAGGAATGAAATTGCAAGTTTCAAGAGAAATGGTGTGTATGAATGTTTGATTCAACTGCAGTAGAACTTTGACCTGAAGGAAAAGGAGGCACAGGTTCAATTATATGTGGAAGCACTGGAAGGGCGTGCCCTCCAGTTGTACCGAAAACGGAAATTTCAGATCCTCTGGTTTGTGCTCAATGATGGAACCTTAATTGGGAGAGCATGACAACATAGGAAAAAATTAAAGTTCTAGATCAAGAAAATAAAGAAGGTTCTCTGGTCAAAAGGCCAAAGCAAAATGAACTCTTTAATGATGATGTAGGAAATGAACTGAAGGAGCAAAGGGAGGGGGCTGATGGGAGCCAATAATGGGGGATAATAATGAAAGGTAAAACGTTCCTTGTGAATGGGTTCATAAATGAGCCCGATGTGGATGTGTAGGGAACAACTGTAGACAGTGGGGTGGGGTGGGGTGGGGGGGGTTCAATGAATAGTAAATTGTGTTTAATCACACATGTAAATCCTTTATTTATAATCAAAGTATAATATAGGATCATTTGATTGAGTACAGTACTCTGGTTCTTCCACGTTAGGGATGGTCATTGATTGTAGATTTCTAGCGATCAAGCATATTAAATAAGCTTCCGCTCTAGAAATTCTAGACATTGTTGCTTTTGTAGAGGTAGAAGCAACTCCAATGACAGTGACAAGGATGGTGTTGGTTGCTTCCCTCCAACTCTAATTAAGAAGGCCTGTTCACTAGTCATGAAGCTACGACAGCAAGAGCAGGAAGGTAATCCCAGAAATAAGTCAAATTCCAATCCTTGTGAGCAAATATTGGAATTTCAAAATATAGTCAATTTCTTGAATCAATTTCCTTGACTTTAACCAACAGAAGCAAATTTACTTCCAGCAGCACCATGGCCAGGCTCTCCTGTAGCAAGGAAATGGGTGGAAATGATGAGTAAATGGAATCTCGGGCAGTAGACTTGTGGAGGCATTGGTGCTGTCTCACGGCTAAAAGTACAGCAGAAAATAGAGAATCGAAATATATTGGAGATGGCATTTGTCTACAGTTGACCTAGGAGGGTTTTGAGCAATTTTGGTGCTGCTTTGGTGGGGTTGGTTTGACAATGACGCTTAATGGGTTGAAACTCGGGCATTATTTTAGCAGTTAGAAGCCAAACCTTTAGGGATGAAGCTTCATGGAAAGATTTTTTTAATATCTTAGTTGTGAGTATCTGTTAGATTTTAGCGAATTAGTTAGTTGTTGATAAAGAAAAAGAAGTTAAGTTGCTAATAAATTTGAGGAGAGGTCGAGAGTGTTGTCACTCAGTTCTGCAGAGTTCTATCTTCTAATTGGGGTTTGTTTTAGAGGGGCTAAAGGGTATGATGCTGAATGATAAGAGTAGTGCTGATGCCAGTTGTGGTCTAAAACTTCTGGAGTTTTTTCATACTTAGCAGAGTATCCAAGGTTCGGGTGGAAAAGACTCTTGTTGACAGTGCCAAGTGAAGGTGCACAGCTGGTGAAGCTTTTGGAAGGATTTCACAGCACAAGTCAAAAGTCAAATTGAGATGTAGCATACCCAAAAAAGATACTAATCAATGAATAACGGGTCCACTGGTTATGCATAGGGAGGGTTGACTCTAGGCTCTAAATCTAAATACCCTCTTATGAAAGAAGAAACCTGAGACTTCTGAAATGCTTGTCTAAACTAAATAACGTTTTCCTGACAATATGGCCCAAAAGTAAAAAATGCAAATTAAAGCTATCACGTTTTCCGAAATTATATGTTGCTATTTTTAACTTTTGCATTTGATCTTGATACCATTTAGGTTCTAACAATAACCTTTTTCGTCCTCCTCACAGTTGCCACCTCAACAACTTGAAAGTGCACTCAACAGGCATGCTAATCTCAGAGGTCCCCTTGCTTCATATGCCAGTCAACCAACTATAAAATCAACACTTAGTAGGTAAGTTTTTCTATATGTGAGTATTTGAAAGGCTTAATTACATATTTTATTCCTGTCTGTGATGTTGGACTCAGAATAATTTTTTGCTTTAATAATGCCCCCCTAACTTTTCTAATTAAATAAATTCTGGCCAGCTGTCAATCTGCCATCCAATTACTAGGGAAATAACTGACAATGGTCTTATCGCATGACACATGATTCTCAGATGTTGCAGCATAACAGCATGCTTCTGAGTTCAGTTGGACATACTGTGACATGTTTGATCGAACGCAAAATAATGTATCATTACCATGCGTTGTAATTTATCTATTCTACAAGTCATACTGGGTTCTATTAAGTGATTACTTCTACAATATAATACCCTCATCCAAAAATTGTATGGTGTCAGTTATTTCTCTGAGCAATTGATTGGCAAAATTAATCCAATCTTACACCCGTTAACAACGTTTTATGATTATTTAAAAATTCTAGCAGTTGGAAAAGCATATACGAACGTTCTATATTTTCTAGTTGCAGTTTCTCCTTCGCATTCTAGTATTATTGTTGTAGTCAACTAAATTATGTGTAACCATGTGCAGATCAATTTTAGCAGTTCTTGGTCTTGCAAATGAAACTCATGTGCAGCAAAATTTGTCAACTTCGTTGCACCCTTCTGACACAAGTTCATCAGTTCATGGAGCAACACTTACGTGATGGTTAAGTTACTGACTACAGGAAATTAGTAACTGGGCCAATTGATAATTGTTGTCGATAAGATTGATCGACTTCTGGATTTCTTGGCATCCAAAGATGCAGAGAAACAAATTTATACGGCGTCTTGGAGCCCCAAATGCAGCCTTTTCAGAGTCTGTGACCATCCCGACATTGGGGCATGCACCCGATCATATCTTAGTTTCCATGAAATCCACCGCGCCTTCTAGGAAATGTATCATAGTTTTCTTTTTGTGTTTATTTTATTTTTTTCATTGTAATATTATTCATTCAATTTTGATGTTATATTCCTGCCTTTTCTGGGGTAAGAACTATGGACTATCCTCGTGTATGTGATTGCATAGTCATCACCATAGTCCTCTCCAGACGCTATGATAATGCTAAAAATGAAATCATGTCTCTGAAACCCCTTTTCTACCGTCCATTCCTCGCTTCGGGAAGACTTCCTAAAGAGAAAATTATACCATGGACTAGTCAGATCAGATTATTCCGAAATTCAAACACTAAACATGGAGGCTTTCTATAAAAATACCAAAACTATTTATGTGATGATTATAGCAAGGGTGAAATTGTTGACACGTCATTTTCATGTGATACATTACCGACCCATGTGCTGTTATGCTATTTGTACACACATGTTTATATTTTTTTTAAATCATTAAATGATATATCAGATATGCAATCACGATTCAATTGTTATGATCTATTATACGGTAACTTAAGCTGCTACATGTTATCAACTGCTTTTCAATATTTTTTGGATATTCGAGTTAGAAATAGTATTTTCTTTACGTAAAAATTGGGACTTCTGGTAAATTTGTAAACAAAATCCTATATAACTTGTTAGTTTGATGACATTGAAGATATCCTGTCATTACTCTTGCTTTAGGTCAGAAAGGTACATGATCGTTTGAAGTTGTAGGTGTATGTTAAAGCTATTAAACTCTAATTTTTTAAACATTTATGAATAATTCGTAAAAGGATAACAGGTGAAATTGAAATGTTTGAAGTGAGAGAAGCGAAAGGAAGGACAAGCTTTAAAATGATTTTTCTCTCATTTATTCTGGTTCCATATAACGTAGAAAGCAATACGAAGAAAAAGGAATTTTAAGAACATTTATTGGATCTTTCAGTTCTTGAATGTTTTCATTTGATCTCTTGATTGTGAAAGAAAGAAGTTATATATGACAAATGTCATTTTCATGTATGGAAATTTCATGTTGATTCCTAAATGTTCTATTTACGTGAATTTTAAAAAGGTCAAAGAAATATCGTTATCATTTTGATTCATTTAACATGAATATCACGTGGTGGACATCGAGGATTTGGGCTAACTTCACCGTCAAACACGTATTTATTAATAATTTTATAATCTATTCTTTCAAATAATAACTAGCTACGACTTCACTTTTAAAAACGAACAGTGGTTAATCGAAACGTTTTTCTCGTCCATTGGTTGCTCGTCAATAGTCATCAAATTTATCAAAAGTGCTATAGCTACTGTTTCATAGCACTGTGAATTAAAATTGATTAAAAATTAAGCAATCGTCAATTTATCATTTTGTCACATATCAATGAGTTTTTTCTCTTAAGCAAGGAGGTTTTTTCAAATTAAACTTTTTTATGTAGTTTTTTTGTATCAAGCATGTCATCCTTTAATTATATTTCTATACTTTATAAATACTATCATAAACTTAGTTAATCTAATTTTCAATATTTTTAACATTGAATCTTAATATTACCTTTTAAACAGACAAACATGAATTGAATTTTAGAAGTTATAATCTGACCATTCTAATATAAAGTTTTAAAAATGTGAAATTAAAACACTCATATATGCTAACTTGAATAAGATTATTTTTATAAAATAATCTTTCACGCATAAAATTTAAAATGATAATTATGTTTAAACAGTAAAATAAGAGGGGAAAATGCTTCGTGTAGACTGATAGACTTGAAATATATTGAAGATTTAACAGGGCAATTAAGCAAGTGGTGAGAAGAATTGCATGAATTGAAAGAATAAGAGGAAAAGAGTGTACATTTGAGACATTACCCTCTGCAGATTTTGATGTACGGCCTAAATCAGAAACTGTATGGGACGCCATTAATTGGCCCCAGATGATATCCACCTATACATAGCTGTGTATAATATTGAAATCCAACAATCGAGTAAAAGTTCTTTTTTTTTTCTTCTCAAAGAATCTATTTCTCCCAAAGAAATAAGGTACACATACTTTACAACAGCAAAAATTTTCCCTTGCAAACATTTTTGTGCAAGAGACTTCGGGAACAAAGTCAATAGCCTGTTCCAGTGTGGCCCGGCGACACAATGCATTAGTGCCAATGGTGGCTAACTCATGCATCCATATATTCTGTGATGAACCAATACCAAATATGGGCTAACTGTCATGAACAAAAAGCCAAGTTAATTTTGTCTCGCATGAGGTTAAAGCTATTATTAAACCTTTTAAGATTTTCTCAAACTAAATGAATTTCAAGTTGATGAGAGGCCCGAGAGGAGCAAAATTTCTCAAGTATTCTTGTTTCTTCAGTATCACTTTAAAATGCATCCTGCATTCGCTTTGAGAATTACAGATAAGTTTCTATATGCACATTACAAATCAGATCATACCTATCACACACTCACAATAGAATTGGTGGAGGATTACTTGACAGGTATGATAGCATCTAGGTTTTTCTGAAGCACCCAACCTTTTGGGTAAACTGTATTATGAGCACTTAAATGAAGATGCCAATTCATTATTTTGGAACAGCCATGAGGTGAGCCTTCCATTTGACTTTCATCTTCCACTAATTGTTCTATAAAGGTGGTCTCCTGTCAAACCAAAAGTCTCATGAGTTTAATGACTATAAGAATTGCTGATGATATTAAACGGCTAAAACGATAGTAAATAGTAAGACCAACCGAATGTCAGATAAAAGACATAGAACATAAATCATACTTGAAAACCTTCCTTCACTGTGTCTAACTGTCTAATGGGATTTAAAGAAGGGCGCCTCCATCGTTTTGGATCCCACAAGATTGTGCTGTTGAATGCAAATCCAGACATATCAACATGAAATCTACGAAGTCTTTTACTTTTCTCATTTGTATGCCATCCGATCACTTGGCTTGCATTGCATACAGGACCCTCCAAAATGGCCTTGTTCTTGCTTGGTGCAAGCATGGCAACAGGCCAAGTGCCAAAGCGGCTACAAAATCAGTTCAACATTAGAACGTAGGAATACAAATTTACAATAGAGGACATAATTCATTATTACATGTTGCACAAACATAAAACCAACAGATATGACTCAAAGAAAGCTTAACGTTATTAACAATTCCAAATACTTGAATTCATTTAGGTAATAGGTAGCTTTTAACCTGGCTTTTCGTATTTGGTGACTAAAATATAGAATTAGTAGGCACCCCCAACACTAGTGGGCAGGGCGCTTATGACATTTTGGGACTACCGGAAGATTTCACCTATGGGATTAGGACACAAGTCCAAACCACAAGCTGTTTGACCTAGTTGCAACTACTCAACTAGTTCCTAGGCACCACCATGGGATCTCACTTAAAAGGAAATTGCTCACCAAGCAGGAAGAGTGGCTACAAACGAAGTTTAAGTTAAATCTCTTTCTCTAATCTTAAAGTTACTTTGAAGTTGAAGGTAAAATGGAATCTTCATAAATAAAGATAAAGATGCGTGGGAATTCTTTAATTTCATATTTACATAAAAACTATTTTTAAACCATACGGATGAGAATAGCACCAACAAAGCTCCGTTTTTTGGACAGAAGCTCGTTATTAGAACAATTGAGGTTTGTGACTAGCTCTAACCTTGGAATGGAACTTCCACTCCCCAAAACTTTAAGTCAACAAAAAAAAGGAGAATGTAAAGCAAGATTTGGTTAGATTTTGGTTTTCATTCAGTAAACATGTTTTCTCGAATGATTCCATAAACGTCACCTTACTTAGTTCTCTGTTTTCAAGAATTAGCAAAGAAAATAGTGAAAACAAGGTTTTTGTTGTTTTCTCCCTTTCCCTTGTAAATTCTTGAAGACAAAAACAAAGACAATATAACATTACTGCTATTACGAGTAAAAACATATCAATTGGGGGGGGGAAGCTACATGACTATCAAAGATGCACAAATGGCAAAAGTCCCACAAGAAGAAACGACATTAGAATACTACTTAAAATAATAAAAAGAATAGCTCGTGCCTTCAAGAAACCACAAACCAAGAACCATTGTTTTCCACTCTACTGAAAATTTGGGACATAGCAGATTTTGGTGCAAGAATAGAATAAAGAAAAACTCAAGTATATTAAAAGTTGTGTTAAGTCTATAAAAAGGCAAATGTACATCAAAAAAGGTTCATTGCGATCTAGCTTGAATAAACTTCTCACTTGTAAAAGAAAATAAGGAAGTTTCATAAATCAATATTAAACATTTTTCACGAGTTAAAATCAACTTTTCCACTTTAGCTATTTTAGACACTGTCTCATCTAATTCAAAAGTTGAATCACTTTCCTTCCTAGTTCTTCCCTTATAAAATGCTTATTACGAAGTTTATATGAATTGGGCCTATATATTTTTAAAAGTAAAAGAAAGTATGAATCAACACCACAAAAAAGGACAGTTGTATCAACTTTATTGCCGAGATGCCATATATCCTAAAGCTAAATATACAAATATAGTAGTGTAATTATTTAAATCAAACCTAAACAAAATAAGAGTAATTTGTCAAATGCGTTCCCCAAAACACATTAGACCCCAAGAATGGAATCCCACGGTCGCTTCCCTCAGTTAACCTCCAAAGTCAATCATATTTCAATTATCTAAATTGATGTTTAAATTAAGCGAAACCTAAAGGCCAAATGCTACCAAAAAGCAGGCGTGCCAACCGCTTAGAGCCAGTGGTAAGTAACTTGAGGCAACTAACAAAGAAGTGGTAAAAACTCAGTTTCATACTAGCAACAACAACAATTACCACTCCAGAAATGCAAGATAACATGGATCAAATGCAAACACAACACCATGATACCAACTAATTAGAAAGCCCAAGAAGATTAAAAAAACAAAACAAAAACCGATAGTCCAATCAACTAGAAGCAAAGTAAGCACCTGATGTCTCTCAAGGAGTCAAACAACTCAAGAGAATACACATTATCATCGTCCGCAAAGTAAACAATCCCATCGAGCCTATGACGCTCAATGTGTTCCAACGCTGTGTTCCTCTGATGAACCCCCCTGTCCTTCACATCCGTCAAATTCTTATTGCACACCAAATGCCTATACATCACTCCCGTCTTCCTCAGTACCTCCGCCGTCTCCATCGACGCCGCCTTCATCTCCACCACAATCCACACCACCGGCGGCGGCACCAGCCGCAACACCTGCCCCAACCGGTTCAGGAAATACGCCTGAAAAGCTCGGCCGTACGTCGGCGTCACCACAATCAGCGGCTTCCTCGGCACAAGATCGAACCCATCACCCTGCCTCTCCCTCTCCGCGCTTAGGCTCACCGGATCGATCACGAAACCCTCATCGACGCGATTCCGCAGAACGCGATCTTCCTGTAGAAGCTGCTGCGCGTTGTTCGAATGCGGCAGCGGCGGCTTCATCTCGAACGAGATTTCGTGCGACCGAATGTCCTCCGCCATGTGGCCGAAGGGAAACATGCCTAGCAAGAACCCTACGAAGAAACACAGAACGCACCTGAACGCCGCTCGTCTCCACTGCCCTTTCCGACCGTGCCGGCGCGTGAAAACACCGCCGACGAGTCGCCGAAACGCCGCCGCAAGAGCCGGTAACGGCGACGAGTACTTGGCGTTCCCGGAAGCGAGCTTATGCGTGGGAGAGGAAACCGGAAACGAACCGTTTAGGTACTGGCGATCGGGATACGCCGGCGACAGTGTCCGCCGAAACGAGGCCATTAATTTAAAAAATTGAAGAAAAAAAAAGAAAAATGAATTTATGGCGGTAACTGAAATTGAAAAAACACTACATGAGGGAGTGAGAGGGAAGGATCAGAGATTGAAAAGAATGGGATAAAGATCCAGAACCCTATGAGATTAGGGATTGAATTAGAGAGAAAGTATTTGAAGAGAGAATTTAGTGAAACCAGAAAGAACGAGACGATAGATCTATTGCTAAATACAGAGTTATGAGTCGCTTCTATGCAGAGAACACGAGACAAAGAAACATCCGGGTCGGGTTCGGGTACCATTTAAAGACCAGGTGCACCTCCGGGCTAAAACGAAATACGTCTCAAAGGTCACACTGGGCAACTCGTAAAAACAACCAAACCTCATTACATACATTAAAATAAATCAAAAATATTAATTTCTCAAAGTTTTTTATTTTTAAATTGAACAACTTTTAGTACCCTTAAGTTTTATTAAAAAACATGACCTTTACCTTTTATTAAATTATAATCAATAATAAAATGTGTTAAAAAATTATTGTCAACATTGAATAATATATTCTCTAATTTAAAAAACATGAAAAATAATTTTTATTAATTACTATATTATTTGTTTAAAATAGAAAAGAGAAATGTTTCGCACTCTTACAATTTCACGCTACTATTCAACTATAAACTATCGATATATAAAAAGTTCAGTTTTGAAAATCATTAATAATATATTTTTCAATATATTTCTTTTATTATATTTTTTCTTTTAAGGAATAATCATTAAATTAAGGCTAAAAATAGTAAATGAAAGGTCAGATTGACTAAATTGTAATTTTTTATTGAATTTTAAGGAATATAAAAAGAATGTGGTTAAGAAATTGAACTTTTAGTATCTAATTAAATATGCATATTTACTAAGACCAGAGCTTGTTTAGTTGAGATCAGGTACAAAAATGGTAGAGAGTTAATTTGTTTGATTGAAAAGAAGGAGAGTTAATTTTAGGAAAATGATGAAACATATTTTTTTATTTTTTTATCTATGTTAATTATTTATCTTTCTACTTGTTTTTTTTTTATGAACTTACTACTTTAAAAAATATTTTTATTCTACAAAATAATTAAACATTCAAATTTATTTTTCACGTATTTTTTTCAACTTATTTTTTATCTATTTCCGTGGTCTATATTTTCTTTTATCAAAATAATACACAGCATTAAAATATATATTATATTTTAAATGAATAGGCTTATAACTTTGTCTAGAATAATAATTTTTAATTTATTTTTCAATAATATAATTAAATGTATAATATTACTTTTATTATAAAGAGACGGAAAAGTTATAAAAATTACTTTTAATAAAGATATATATATATATATATATATATATATATATATATATATATATATATATATATATATTATTTATATATTTCTTACCCAGTATTTTATGAATGACAAAAATTATAATTGAATACCTTTTTCTTTTAGAATCCTTCTACTTATAAATGTAAACTAAATAAAAAAAAATCCTTCTATTTGTATTTCTGGCATATTTTCATCTCGTGCCCTTTGTTTTTGTTAAAATTATATGCATTGACAGCAGAAAAACACGTAAAAAGCACCTGAAGAAATCGTGTGTATTTAACAAACTATATATTATAAATAGTAAAAGCGACAGATAATTTATTTAAAAAACAGTAATGTATTATTCAATTTAATGATCCAAAATTAGAAAATAAAAATACAAAAGAAAATATTGAGTGAACGTCAAATCTTTAACAACCCGCGAAGAGCTTAAAATAAAAATCTCGTACACTTCGTGTCTAAAAATATAACAAAAAGCACGTGTTAAATTGAGGCAATGATAGATTTTCTTTGAGTCAATATTTGGGTTAGTAGGATATAAAATACGAATCATGTATATTGACCCATGGGATATAACTTTCCTAAAAGCGTTTTTATATGTTTCGATTTTAATAAAACCGATATGTATATAATGTCTTAAAAAAACGTTTTTTTACTAGTAATATATCGATACTGAGACAATGTTCGATGTTCATAAATCTCTTGGCTTTGTGTTTTTAATACTAACATAGGTTGATAGTTGTCTGTATTGTGGAGATGATAGTCAAAAGACATTAGTTCTTGATAGTGAATCTCTCCAACTCGGTTATTAGCATTATGAAATCGTCTTATGATATAATCTTATAAAAAGTACGGTAGTTTTTTACTTTTAATTTTAAAATAAACAATTGTCCTATGATAAAAAAGTGTAATTTTTTTTCATTAAACTTTCATTTAGTTTTTTTCACTTGAATGGATTGGACGAAGTGATTGAATGAATTTGACAGAATTTGAAAATAAATTTTGTTGTTGTTTATTTGAGTGGATTTGAAAGCACATGAGAGTGGATTTGAAAGTAAATTCTTTTAATCTGTCATATCAATCAAATTTTTTTAATATGTCATATCAATCAATTTCAAATTCACTCTTACTTATCTTCAAATTCACTCAAATAAATAATAAAAAAAATTATCTTCAAATCCTCTCAAATTCAATTAATTACTCTCCCAAAATCTATTCAAGTCAACAAAGAATTAAAGATTATTCAATATTAGCCATTAAAACCCAAAAGTAGTCAACTTACTTCAACTTTTTAATGGAGAGTAAAAAACACAAGGAGTGTTGCTCTGGTTTTAACAATTTAATGTAAAATAATGCTTTTTATTTTTCAAATCCTTTTATTAAAGTTTAATGATTACGCATGGGTAATATAGAATAAATTTACATTGTTTAATAATAATTTAGCATTGATGTGATTTTAAGATAATTATTATCAAAATATACATAGTTAGGTATCCTATAAATTATTAAGAGTAAAAATAAATTTCAATAATATTTTTAGAATTTAAAAAATTAAATATGATTGTTGATGATTTTTATTGTCATGTATGTATGATACATCTTTCGTCAATTCATTTTTTGGTTTAAATTAAATAACATATTTTGGTTGGTATTCTTTTTATTTGTATAAATGCCTTAGCAATAATGAGATGATCTACATTACATTTTCACAAAAACAAAAAAAAGTAAAAAAATACGAACAAGTGTAATATTAGAAAGAAAAAAAAAGTAATAATAAAATATCGTGTAAAATTATTAGAAAAAAGGAAATATAGCCAACAGGGGAGAGTTTTCTAATTGAAAAAATACACTTCGAAAGTGAATCTAAAAGAACTGGTTTTATTCAAATATAAAGTGCGATTCATTTCTAAGTGAATTTGGACTAATTTATTTAAGGGTTAAATATGTTTTTAGTCCCTAAACTATTGGCCGTTTCTGGTTTTCGTCCCTCTTCCAAAGTAAGGTACAATTTGGTCCTCATTATTTAGAAAAACGTTCGTTTTAGTTCTCAAAATTTTGTTTTTAGTCCTCGTTTTAGTCCTCAAAACGTTCGTTTTTTCGACTAAAATGAACCTTTTTTAAAGATTGAGGACTAAATTGTACCTTAGTTTGGAAGAGGGACGAAAACCAGAAACGGTCACATAAAGCGTTCTTTAAAAAAATTAAAACAAATAATTGTTAGAAACAAAAGTTATTTATGTTTGGTTATAAATATAATTTTTTTTTATTAAACATCTTTCTTCATAATAGTTTTACATACGCTTATCAAACAGCTTAATCATTAATATATTTTACCAGTGTATGTAACGCTTAAAAACAATTAAATTTAACGTAACGTTTTTCCAATTTTCTTAAAAGTAATTTTATTTTCCAGAAAACAGCATTAATACAAAATTTTGATTTAGGCTCTCATTTTTTTTTTTAATTCTTGCTGTAAAAAAATATATATATTTTTGGCAACCGCTGTCAAAGTAGATTTCTTAACTTTTTAACAAGCCATTTCTTTATTTACATAAACAATTCTTTATTTCATTTAAATTTATTTTAATTCTTAATCGGGTCATATTTAAAAAATAATAAAAAGGTCATCTGTTTTCGTGATAATGTCAAGTTACTTAACTTGAATAACATGTAAGCAATTTCAAGAAAAATGTTCGAAGGTTAAAAAATAAAATACAAAGATACAAAATTATATGATTTTAACAACGGCAGTCCTAAAAAAATAATTTCAATTTTTATTAATTACTTCTTCAGTTTCTAAATAGAAACATTAAATACTTTTATACATGAAATATATTAATATATTTAATACATTTTCATTAAATATACTATAAATTCTTAAAAGTATTAGCAAGATATAACGTACCCTTTAGTTGTAATATCTAATTAATTGGATTACAGTGAGTTATTTATTGCTTTAATTAGCACAATGGTTAAATGAAATATTTTCAATTCAGCAATTGTTAGCGTATTATAAAAATAGATTCTACATTATTAAAAAAATAAATAAAAATATCATATTCCCACGGTGAATTTTGATTAATTTTTAACAACACGATCTTTTAGTTTTCTTTTAGAATTAACATAGTTTAGAATGAGGTGACTAAAAATAAAAAATCCATTTTCTGGAGTAAAAATAAATACAGATTATTTTGAAAACATAAACAGTTCTAAAATAAGAAAAGTTAATAAAGAGCACATCATCAATTATATTCCACGTATAAAAAGCATTTGCTACAAATAAAAGTATGTATAATTTTATTAAAAAAAAAATAACTATTTAAAATATCAAGTGTCGGTTCATCTTCTTCCGACAAAAAAATAAAAAAATAAAAAATACAACGTGTAATTGCTTTTATAATAAATAAGTAATAAAGAATAAAGGTCTGTCAACAATAATAGGAGCACTTGATTCTCTACATCAAATTCCATGAACAACAATCTATGACACTGCTTCTTCTCATTTCTGATTAGGGTTGTTGTTTGAATTTCCTTTTATAACTCAACACAATCTCCATCAGTAAAAGTTAAATTTTGTTTCATCTATTTATTACGTGTTTAAAGAATCTCCATCACACCTAATGTTTTCTTCTTTTGCTCCATCCAAACACTGCCTTACAGATGTTGCTCTTTTCTTTCATCATCACCAAGTTGACTTTGCTAAATGTCAAACTTTTCTTTTTTTTATTTGCCCACACTTAGTTACATTTGGATTTTGTTTACTTTTTAGAACATACACATCTTCCCATATTAGCCAGCAATTTTATCTTATCGTACTAATTCAATTGTTTAATACTTTATAAATATAATAATATATCATCAATTTTATTTTATCGTACTATTAAATTACTATAATTTTTTCATTAATTGTTTCCTGATATAAATGATTTTACTTTTTCACTTTCTTTTTTAAGATTTACTTTGTAATAATTTAACACTAAAATGGGATAAAAAA